AATATGGCGGACGGCGTGGACCACATCGATATCTACGCCGATGTGGGAGAGGAGTTTAACCAGGTAGAGGAGATTCCGCGCGCCTGGTTTCCGCCATGGCCGCGACGCTTCGAGTCAGGCGGGGGGGTGGGGACTGTAGGGGTGGGGGCGCCGGATTTCTGTGCGTGTGTGAGAGGGAGGGAGGGAGAGCGGCTGGGCCTCACAAGGCGCACGGAAACCCCTCCGCCATTGTTGACTGTGGCGTCTCGTCAAGCGGCCCGTGAGTTTTCCCGCCCGGCGCTTCGAGTAGTTACAGTGAGCGCTCCGGCAGCAAGAAGGCGGTCGGCTGACTTGCGTGCCTCCGCCTCACACGCGCGCCCATTTGCTTTTCTCTCTAAGGCCCCAGGGGCTGGAAAACAATGAGCCTGAGATGGAGGCTCTCGTAGCTTTGCAGCGCTTGTAACACTCCCTCCCCCCCCCCCCTTTTCCCTTGAGAGGAGAAAGGTTGGAACGCGGCGGCACAAGGAAGCAGCAGCCGCTTTCTTGGGAGTCTACAAGAGAGATGTGTGCGAGAAGCTAAATCTCTCTCCTCCAGGTATACTCAGATGCTACGCACTCACCCGGGGTGATTGCATTGGCAGATGGGGTCTGAACAGTACTACCCACCACCCCCACAAACCTGACTGTGTTTTTTCATTACACCTGTCCCATGATCCTTGCAAAGAAGCACGCCAGGTACAATTCAACCTACTAAAATAGTTGCGTTTTTACAAGAAATTCGTTAGCTGTATGTGTCAGAAAGGGTTTCTTCACTATATGCTTAGTGTTGCTTGGTTATGCGGGATAGCTTGAGTGAAGACCAATACTTTTTGTTGCCAAAAAGACTGACCCCTTTATTCTTGCAGAGCAGACGAGAAACATGCGAAATCCCAAACTTTTTTTATGTTGGATAACCGTGTGGGCAGTTCACAGCAGCTGGGAGTATATGGTCCACTGAGTTATATGAGTTGGTGCATTGCTACCCTGATAACATATTGTACTATTCTTCCCCTCTTGATTGCATTCTCCCATACCATTTTGGAACGGTTGTGTGAAAATTTTTGAAAGCACTCATTGAAAGCAAAAGATGCCCATAAAGGCATTGGTATGGTCTATCTTAAATATCTGTTCAGAAACTTGGTGCTTGTTTTAGGTCTGATTAAAAAGCCATTTCTTTATTTTTAAGGTGCTTATAAAAGCCAAATCTGTTAGGTAATGATTTCCAAAACCTGTTTTTCCTTCACTCTTTTCAGGCTTAATATGGTGTATTGCTAGTATGTTAAAAACAACATTACAGGTAGCCCTGCTCAAACATGAAAACAAAGTCAAAATAAGTAATATAGGAGAGGCTCTGGTCACAGAAGTCAACTCAGTGTCATGGTCCTCTGGGTTCAGATGCAGTACCACTGGTTTGTGGAGCATCCATACCTTATTGGCTGGGAGAATGAGCCTCAGAAACATTTGAAGGGTATTGTTGGATGCACATTTATTTAATTTTGGCATTTATAAGCTGCATTCAGGGCTGCGGTGGCTCAAGTGGTTAAGACGCTGAACTGCAGACCTGAAGGTCAGCCGTTGGAGACCTGAGTGCTGCATGATGGAGTGAGCTCCCATCTCTGGCCCCAGCGCCTGCCAATCCGCAGTTCGAAAGTAAGAAATTGCAAGTAGATAATTACGTACAACTTCGGTGGGAAGGTAACAGTGTTCCGTGCGCCTCGGCGTTTAATCATGCCAGCCCCATGACCACGGAAATGTCTTTGGACAGCGCTGGCTCTTCGGCTTTGAAACAGAGATGAACACCGCATCCCTAGAGTGGGATTTGACTGGCTTTCAAGCAAGGGAACCCTTTACCTTTACTAAGCTGCATTCTCTACTGTCACTCATAGTGGCATACAAGTTTAAAAAATAAAGCCATAATTTGTATAACAGCAGATAAAACTCTAGTATTGAACCAAAAGCAAAGGAGTAATTGTAAAAACATTTGCCAAGCCAACAGAGAAAGTATTATAAACATATTGCTTGGTAACAGAATAAACCTTAATGAAAACATAAAATTCTGAAAGTTGTTGACAAAAATGCAGCATTAGAAATCCAGTTAGAGCATAGTAACTAGCTTTAAAATCTCATAAAACAGTTCAGGCTAGAAGCATGCTGTAAAAATGATGGTAAAAAAACAGCCCCTTAATTTGTGTGAAAAATGTTTTGGTCTGGCTTCAGGCAAGCCTGAAGAAGAAAGGCATTGCACAGGCGATGCACCACCACAGAGAAAGCCATGTATTTGGTCCCCACCTGCTTCACATCTGGAAGAAGGGGCACAGAAAGCAGGGCTTGTGAGGGGGACCTTCACTTGGTAGCCTGGGCAGTATGGAAGAAGGTGGACCTTTAGGTAACTTGGCCCCAAGCCATTTTAGTGCCTTTAAGTTAAAGCCAGCATTTTGAATTGTGCTTGGAAACAGATAGGCAACCAGTGTAGATCTTTCAACACTAGGGTGACACAATAATGAAGTGGGCCACTGAATTGTTCTCAGAGGATCTAGTTACAGAGAAAACTCAGCATCCTCATTGTTCTTCAGAAAGGAGGATATTGAAAAACTTCCACGTGGATTCATGTGTGTGGAAAGGTACAGTCCCTACATGTGATCATCTGTGCTACTGCAGGTAATACAGATTTTGAATACATAACTCGAAATTAATACGTAGTTGGGGTGGGGGGAGGGATCATTTTGATACAAATACATCAGTAGTATTTCCAGACTCCAGATTTTGAAAATTGCAGTATGTTTTTGAAGTTCATTGTAAACATTTGTATTTGTTGCTATAGTCATTTCCCATACAATCCTAGAGATAAAAGTGGTCTCTGGCAGATAATTGTCAGTACCATCATTGACTAAAATTCCCAGAAATCTTGGAAGGAAGACATGATAATATTGCAATTTATTTTTTGAATAGTAAATACACTAGTCAGGTTTCCTCCTGTTGGTAGATACTTTGATTAGTTGTCTCTTTAAAGTTAGACTAGTTATGTCAACTATAACATGCTCATATGTCTTCTCTTATCTTAATAATAGCATCAGGAAAGCTCTGGTGTCTATTTTAATTGGATGTTTTGATGAATTTTCAAATTGGCAGTGCACTGAATATATTCAGTAATAAAATTAAATATATATATATATTCAGTAAAACTATTTTGTGCAGGGATGCATCTTTGGAAGTTACTCTAATATACAGCAAATGTTACTGAACCATGCAGGCTGAATCTGGCCACTGAATACAAGAAGATGATGTTTTTACTAGGAACATGAAAGAGGAGGAGTGACTAATCACGTGGATTGCAAAGGAATTAAACTGAAACAAGGATTTCTGGTTTGTGGATCAGCGATGGCGGTCGCTCTCCCCAGACCTTGGGGGAGTGACTTGCACACCAGCTGTATGGGGGGGGGGTGCTTTGCAAAAGGCTCCAGGCCATAGGGCTTTTGAGGGGCAGCCTCTTCGATGGCTAAATGCCGGAGAATTGAGGCTTCCCTCCGCCCTGACGGTCCTGCCGCTGTGTGGCCTTCGGGCACAAGCTGTTTCGACCGGGACAAGCGCTGGAGATCGAGTGGAATATCGTTTACTGTGAGCGAGGTCAGAGAAATGACCAACAATGAACGTGAGTTCAAAATAAACGGAACATTTTAAAAGCGAACTACCCCTGTGGGAAAAGCGGAGTGCAGAGAGGGACACCTCTTATGCAAACGGGCAGATAAGCGTAACAAAGGGACGGGGGGGATGAACAGCGATTTTGTGTGGAGAGACTTACTTGAGCGCTGACAGCGAGGTGATGATTTTTTGAGTCAGTGTGAAGCGTTTGGAATTGTAAACAATTGTATAAAATGGCGGCCTCGCAAAGAAAGTTTAAAGTGAAACCGGCAGGTAGTCAGAGCCCAAAACTGGAAGAGGGAGCAGACATCATGAAAATGTTAGCGGATATGCTAAAGCCGGTGGTGGAGCAACTCGATGGTATTAACCAGCAACTGACCTCCCAGCAGCTACAACTGGCAGAAACAGCGAAAGGTGGAACACACGACTGTGAGAATTAAAGAGATAGACACCACAAACAAAAAAATGAAGAAAAGAATGGGGGAAGTTGAACCAAAACAAAACTTCCAAGAAAACCGTTTGCTACAGCTACAAATGGAAAAAGCTAACATGATCCTCAGATTCCAGGGAGTTCCTGAATCGCAAACGGAGGATCTGAGGAAACTGCTCAGCGAGATCATAGCTCCAGTAATAGGCTTAACAGCGGATGAACTGGTAAGAGATGGAGACTGCTTATAGGGCATACTCCAATTATATATTAAAAAATAGCCTCCCTGGAGAAATTGTGGTCAGATTCTCAAGAAGACAGACCAGAGATGCTATTTTTAAAGCGTCTTCAGCAACTCCACTGAAAATGGGGAATATAAGCATTAAAACTTTAAAAGACATTCCATTTGAAATTCGCCAAAAGAGGAAAAGCTATAAGGATTTAATTTCTTTTCTTCAAAAAGTTACATATGATTTCAGAGACAGAAAACCGAAGTAAAGGCAGAAGGACTCTGAAAATTGCCTTTTGAAGCAACTAACACGAAGATGCTCAGAAAGTTCTCTCACACAACTAACATAATAACATTGAAGCCGAGACAAACAAGAACTCTACAAGTATATTGTTATATTAACACTTTTATTAATAACATTTAGATTAACATGGATATGATCTCCTCCTCTTGGGTTTTTAGTATAGTGTGGTTATCTATCCTTTATCCTTAGATGTTAGCCCCCTCCCTTATATTTTCTTTGTAGTTTTGTAGTCTTATAAAAAATAATAAAAATATCCCTCCGGGGATGCAAAAAAAAGAAGAAGTAATGAGTACTTGTGATTAACCACTTACTATAGAAGCTAGTCCAAGGAGCTTCCAAGTGAGTTCCTCTCTTGCCAGGCTCTTCTTTAACTTTAAAGATTTGTTGGCTTTTTGAAATGTATAAGGGAAGCAGAAGGCTTGGGATCAGCCTCAGTTGTACAGTGTTGTGCACCATGATACCATAGTTGAAGTTAGTTTCTCCTATGGCCTCAGACCCTAGGATTCTCAAACTGCTAAGGTAGAAATAACCTATATTATGCTGGTGGTAGAAAGCTGTAGGAAGAGGGAGCAAAAGTGAGTTATGGTTCACTTATTTACTTCATTTATACCCTGTTTTTCTCCCCAGTGAGGACCGAAAGTCGCTTACATCATGCTCTCCTCCATTTTAACCTTACAACAACTCTCTGATGTGGGTTAGGCTGAGAGGGTGTGACTGGCCCAAGTTGACCCAGCAAGGTTCCCCCGTGGCAGAGTGGAGATTTGATTTGAACCTGGGTCTCCCAGCTCCTAGTCTGACCGTCTAACCAGTATGCTGCTTACCAGTATTTAAAATAATACATTATACTGGATACCAAAATCAAAAGAGTTATGCCAGATAAAAATGTTTTGAGAATTGTGGGCACCCTCCCTGACATAGTTTGGAGTTATCTAAAATATATCTCTGTCATTTTCCAACAGCCCTGTCAGTTTGGTTAGTGGGACAGGGCAATTTGCCCAAGGCCAGTGTTGGATTGATGCGTGGCTCTGGATCCAGCTTTCTCAGGTTCATTGTGCTGTACTGGAATTATTGTGCTTGATTTGCTTTAATTTAGTTTCTTAAAGAACAAATGTTTGAATCATATGTTAGTGTTCCAACTGAATGTCAGGACTTACAAAAGCAGCATTCCAAAACTAGTTTTGTTGCTACAGAGTATGGAGTAAAATACTTTATTGCTGTTCTAGGTCACATGCTAGACCATTTTGGTTACTCTAATGTGTAAGGACAAACTACACTTGATGTATAATTCTGTAGTTCTTTTTCTCATTTTTTAAAAAACACATAGTATCTGTAGACAGCTGCAAGGCTGATTGGTGGTAGAGGCTGCTTAACTCTGCTAGCTTGATTTTTCTTTCCTTGATAGGCCCCTTGATTTTCCTTTTCCCTTAGGCCGGTGATCTCCAGCCTGGTGCATGAATGTATTCCCTGCTGCCTGCTTGCTTCTTGGGGTTAAAATTCAAAGATGCTTAAATGAAATGGGAGAAAAGGAGCTTTGGGTTGCTTTTTAGCAGCTGATTGACCACCAGAGAACACAGGTCAAGGCACAGACGTCCTTGTGTGTCTGTGTTTTCCTGTAGTTGTGCAAAGACACACAGTTTCTCCCTTTCTTTGGAAACTAAAACCAGATGTGTCTTCTGCAAACCAAGGCTGTTCCCAGCTTTCTTCCACCTCCTGGGAGCAAGAGGTGCTTCACAAGAGATCAAGTGGTTAAGACGCTGAACTGCAGGCTGTGGAAGGTCGATAGTTCAGCAGTTTGAGACCCAAGTGTGCCGCATGACGGAGTGAGCTCCCGTCTCTAGTTCCAGCTCCTGCCAACCTAGCAGTTCGAAAGCAAAACATTGCAAGTAGATAAATAGGTACCACTTCAGTGGGTAGGTAACAGCGTTCCGTGTGCCTTGGTGTTTAGTCATGCTGGCCACATGACCACGGAAATGTCTTCGGACAGCGCTGGCTCTTCGGCTTTGAAACGGAGATGAGCACCGCAACCCTACAGTCGGATTCGACTGGCTTTCGAGCAAGGGAACCTTTACCTAATAACAAAGAGATCAGTCATATTTGGATTTTGCCTTTATAAAGTACTGTTATTTTGAAACTTGGATTGCATTTCCAGACCTTAACCTTTAGTGTTAGATTAAAAATCACTAGAGCAAAAACACTGACAAACGTATTTTAATCTAGTATCTATAACTTCACTGTTTTTCAGGAAGCAGAATACGGTGGGCATGACCAAATAGACTTGTATGACGACGTCATTTCTCCATCTGCCAATAACGGCGATGCACCAGAGGACCGTGATTATATGGACTCTCTCCCACCCTCTGTTGGAGATGATGTAGGCAAAGGATCAGCACCAAATGTTGTCTACACATATACAGGAAAGAGAATTGCATTGTATATTGGAAATCTTACTTGGGTAAGCATTAAACGGCTTATTGCTATAGTTAATTATTGTAGCAAGGTCATTTGAGTTGGTGAACATTATCATTAATATTCCGTTAAATTAATGGACTCTCTGTTTTTGAGAAATAGAAACATAATTTCATCATATTATCAGCCAGGATTAGAAAAGAGCATGCCATCTTCAAACAGCCAAAGCTAATTTTGATAATGAGATCTCTTACGATGGAAAGTATATATGTATATGCTCTATTGATGAATTATTTTAGATGATTGTAGAGGGAAAGAAGTCATGTTCTTTTTTAACTGTTACCTCTAAAAGTAAAGTGTCAATTATGAATATTTTACAGTGGACCACAGATGAAGATTTAACTGAAGCAGTTCATTCACTTGGTGTAAATGATATTCTGGAGATAAAATTTTTTGAAAATCGTGCTAATGGTCAGTCAAAGGGGTAAGAAAGTTGAAATAATTGTTATCCCTTTTTCTTTTCTACTGCCAGCACTTGTAATAGGAAATGTAGCTTAGTGGTATCTTGCTTGCCTGGAAGGTGTATCGCCTAAGAATACAGAGACAAATGAACTTGAGAGAGAAGTAGTCATAATAGAGAAGTTTTGAGAAGGAATTAAAATGTCTTCAGAGGTAAAAAGGAAAGCTGTTCCTGTGTATGGAAGAAGTTGGCCTGTGAGAACTCCTGTGAGAATTCTCAGTGTCATCAGTCAGGGCTATTATGTAGCTATAGTATTCAGGTCATGCTTTAAGAAGCTGTAGTATTGAGAATATATTTTATGTCTGTATTTGTTCTTACTACTATAAATGACCTGTTTTGCTTTATTTTTAAAAGGAATTTGAGTGTCAGCACTTTCTTTCTTCTTTCTACAATTCTGTTCAAACATTGCAGTTTGGACAGTTGTGCCTTCCCCTTCTCTTTTCCACCTCCATCATGGGTGAAGTTAGGAATGGGTTTTGGTCTTATGTGCTTCATCCTCAGCCCCTGCCACCCCATGCAGGGGTGGAGCGGGGGTTGGACTAGATGGTGTGTATGGCCCCTTCCAACTTTCTTCATTGTTAGTTACAACTAAGTTTCATCCCTTCTATCTCTACTCTTGGCACCGGAATAGTCTTCAAATAAAAGTGATATTTCTGAGCTGAAAAGTTGTGTTCTGCTGTGGAGAGAAAGATGGGGAACAAGCATATGAGTGAGAGATGCTAGTTTATGGTGAAGCATAATGATTGAAAGTTCGATACATAACCTTCTAAATGATCTCTGAAGAAGTATTTTTTTCTACTATTATTTTCTTCAGGTTTGCTCTTGTAGGTGTAGGATCTGAAGCCTCTTCCAAAAAACTAATGGATCTATTACCTAAAAGAGAATTGCATGGTCAGAATCCAGTTGTAACTCCATGTAATAAGCAGTTTCTGAGTCAATTTGAACTGCAATCAAGGAAAAGTAAGTGTTGCTTTCAGCTGCTTTTCAGTGAAGGCAAGGGACATTTGGGAGGAGAAAAACCCTTAAACTTGGCATGTGTCAGATGTGGTATATATGGTTGAAGGGGGCATGAAGTGCTTGAGAAATTTTACTTATTGAAAGAATGCTTTGTTCAAGTTACTTCTGATGTATGTGTTTTTTTAAAAAAACTGGGAACTGTATATTATTGAATGGGAAGGATGGGATTTAGTCTGTACTATCCTCACATGGTTAACACAACATTTTCATGCTAGATTAGAACAGAACCTGTTTAATAGTATAAGAGTAGACATGCTGGATTAGACCAGTGGCCCATCTAGTTCAGCATCCTGTTTCCAGCAGTGGCCAATCAGATTCCACAATCAGGACCCACAAGCCAAATCTGCAGAGACTGCTCCACAGCATCTGACAGTCAGAAGCATCTGAACCCAAGGACCCCACTCAGCTATGATAGCTAACAGTACACCTGTCTTCCATAAATCTGGCCAACCCCATTTGAAATCTATCTTACACTAGTGGCCATTGTCATGTCTTAAAGCAGTGAGTTTCACAAGTCAATTACCCTTATGTGAAGTAGTATTTTCTTTTGTCTCTTTTGAATCTATTGCCCATTAGTTTCATAGTGTGTTTCCATCTAGTTTCTCTACACCACACATAGTTTTGTAGATGGCTTCATGTCACCCCTCAGTTGTCTTTTTTCTAAATTGAAAGCTGCATATGCTTTAGCCTTGCCTCATAGAGTGTGTCTTGCAACATTGTGATGGTTCTGGTAGCCTTTTTCCTGTGTATTCTTTTGCTCACCAAAAGTCATCCTACAATAAAAGAACAAGCAGCAGGGGTAGACAAGATACACTAGTTTATCCTGTGATCTTGACTCTTAGAATTGAGTTTTGCAACCTTTTATGCTGATAAATCCATATGTTGAAATGGTGAGTAAGGATCAAGAGCCCAAACTATCAGAAAACACTAAGAACTAAAAATCGTGTAGTAGAGAAAACAAAATTCTTCTGCTGTGATGGTAAATTGATAATGAATAAAAAAAATTCAAATAAATGATTATTTATCAAAGAATTCAAAAAGGGGACCTGACAGTTTTCAATTGTGGTGGGGACTTTTGTTTAACTATTTGGTGGCTTTGTTCCCTTGAGGTGTATTTTATTTCCTGTTTTAGTATTTAGCTCGAGGCATTTAATAAAGTGATATGGGCTGAATTTTCTTTTGAATTAGGCTGTCCTACCAGAGTTCTTGGGGTTTTCAGCAGAAAATTCTACATGTCTGAAGATACATGAAATGGTAGCCCTCTAATAATGTGTTCTAAATTCTGCAGATTTTGAGCCATGGTAAAGTGTAATTATTAAGATAAGCACCATAAGCAAAAGGTTCAGAATGACCCTTTGTTAGTGTGCTTCTTTTGAAAGTACTTGGTGATCTGTAGGTAAAAAAGGCTTTGTAGATCTAAAAGGAAGTAGTAATAAAGACCAGCACACTAAATTGTATGAGTGTTTCTGTGTTGGACGTTTGGGCTTGTTTTCTCAAACTGTAGGTATATGTGGGGGGTTTTTTGCGAGGGTGTGTGTCCAAGAAGTAATTTGTGTTGTATCATGTTGATCTGCTTCTAAAAGATACAAATTTCACTGGGTTCTCTTAAGCCCTTGGGCTTGCCTAAGACAGCTGTTCACATCTTTGCAGAAACTATTCCTGAGTGTACAATAGTAAGTAATAATGGGAGAATTTTAGACAGATGATCTAGTTTTCAGATTTGAAAGCCTTTCTAATTTGATATTGTATGTCATACTTTTATTTCACTACTGCAGCTACACAGTCAGGCCAGATGTCAGGAGAAGGAAAAGCTGGTCCTCCAGGAGGCAGTTCACGGGCAACCTTTCCACCAAGTAACAGAGGGAGGGGTCGTTTTCCTGGTGCTCTACCTGGGGGGGACAGATTTCCTGGCCCAGCTGGACCAGGAGGACCACCACCACCCTTTCCAGGTAAAATGTTTTAAATGTTTGGTATTTTGCTACATTTATATTTGGATAGATGTTTGACTCAAGACGTAATTTATGGTTATCTGATACTGAAATGTAGAAGTATTTTCTGAATAATTTCTTAGATAACCAGTTGCAGTTAGGGTCTGATAGAGTTGAGCTGAAAGAACAAACTTGATGTTATCGCTCCTAAAAGTTGCCTTAGGTTTAAAGTTGGATAGAACATTTTTGCATTGTACAAAATGTATAACTTTCTCATTACTTTCCCTTGTTTTTATAAAAAATACGAACTTACTAGCTGCTTTTCTAAAAAAGCTACTTGCATATACATTAAAAATAGAAAGCTGATCTGCTTCTAAAAATACAATAAAAACCCAAATATATTTATTTACTTCATTTATACCTCACCTTCCATCCCAGTGGGGTCCCAAAGTGGCTTACATCATTCTCCTCTCCTCCATTTATTCTCACAACCAAGTAGGTGAGATAGATTAGGCTGAGAGTATGGGACTGACCCACAGTCACCCAGCAACCTTCCATGATAAAGTAAGGCTTCAAAACCTGGCTGTGACATATCCTACTCCAACACTTTAACCACTATACTGTGTATACAAAGCACAAATGTAAAGTGTTTTTCTTGCTCATTATTGCTAAAGTATCAATCACAAATAGGAATTTGTTTTTTCCTGACATGTAAAGTTCCTTCTTGCCATCATATACAAACAGCAGAAGTAAACTGTCATACCGTATGCTTTCCTAATTAAAGGTGTAACATCTGTTAAGTGCATAGATTCTTAAAGGAAAAAGTAAACATCAGTTACCATGTTTCTTTTGTATATTAGAACTGATGCTGTAGGTCTTGCTGAAAAAATTGTCGGAAGGATTTTAATTGTGAAAATTATTTCCCCCCCTTTTAGCTGGACAAACTCCTCCACGTCCACCTCTAGGCCCTCCTGGCCCACCAGGCCCTCCAGGTCCTCCACCACCTGGCCAGGTTCTGCCTCCTCCATTAACTGGTCCTCCCAATCGTGGTGACCGTCCTCCTCCTCCAGTTCTGTTTCCTGGACAGCCATTTGGCCAGCCTCCATTGGGTCCACTCCCCCCTGGTCCTCCACCTCCAGTTCCGGGCTATGGCCCACCACCAGGCCCTCCACCCCCGCAACAGGGTCCTCCTCCACCCCCAGGCCCTTTTCCCCCTCGTCCACCTGGTCCACTAGGGCCACCTCTAACACTGGCTCCTCCTCCTCATTTGCCTGGACCACCACCAGGTGCTCCCCCACCAGCCCCACACGTGAATCCAGCTTTCTTCCCCCCACCAGCCAACAGTGGTATACCTACATCAGACAGCCGTGGTCCACCACCGTCAGACCCATATGGCCGACCTCCACCATACGACAGAGGTGATTATGGGCCGCCAGGCAGGTGAGTGCCTTTTTGTATTCATAGACTATATATTCTCATTTAGGGCCTCTGCACTCAGTTGATTCAGGTTATTTTGTTTCCCTTTGCTTTAGGAAACGTTGAAAGTTACTTGAATGTGAGATTGCAACTAAAGCATGATTTCTCAGACTTTTGGGGCTTGGGGTCTTCTTTCTAAATTGTTCTGTTTTTTGTGCTTCCAGAACGTACCATTCATGTATTCTAAAGCAGATTGTACAGAGACCCTTGGATGCAGTGGTATGCATGTAGCCTACTACTGTGTGCAAAGATCCGTGATTCGGGGGGGGGGGGGGGGGATCAGCATTTGAATTAGCCAAGACATTTATCAGCTCCTCTTGAAAACATCATTGGAAAACTAAAGGTACAGTTCCCAAATGAGTTGTAATGTTAGGGCAAGTTGTGACAGCAGTCATTCTAACAGAGACAATGCTAATCAGTGGGGATCATTCAACCTACCTGTCTCTTAGGTAAGAAGAAAAAATGGTATATCTAACTCAGAATCTTTTCCCTTCCGGGATCCTGGTGTCCTTTTTCTTGGTGTTTTGCACCTGGTCAGGGGATGCTACTACATAACTTGAGAACCAATACATGAAATACAATCTATATGGTGTTAGTGACATGTGGCACCCATCTATGGATACCTAAACCTGTGGATCAGGGCCATGTAAATGCTGAACAGATTTTTCAGCAAACTTGGGGGATTCCCCAAGTTTGCAGAAAAATCTCAAATCAAAATTAAAATATATAGAGGATTTAAACCCCCCCCCAATACATTTGTGTTGTCAATGCATGTGCAAACAACACTCTTACTAGATGAGGAGCCATTCCAGCCTGTCCTCAGAGTCAAAGGACGAGGATGCTAGCAGCCATTCTGGGCCCAGCCATGGAGGATTCTGGCAGCTGCGCTGGGCTCAGCTGCAGCAGCGGAAGATGCCAGCAGCTGTGCCAGGCCCAGTAGTGGTGATGAAGGATGGTGGCAGCGGTAGTAATGAGCCATGCCAGGTTTGGTGCTGGAGGGGTATGGGATTCCCCCCTGCAAGCCCCCTCCCCTGAGCCATGTTGGGAATCAGCAACAATGAAGGTAGGGATCCCCCCCTATGAACAAGTCCCCACTTGTGCTTAAGAATTCTAGCTATATATTTACCTTCATTTGATCATACTTATGTTGTTCACATCACTCATCTTATATCTTGTGCACAAATATATACTGTTGGTATTTTCTTAACCGCCCATCTACCAAGGTTACTTCTCCCACAAAACCTTCAGTTTAGTTACTTGGCAATATAGCACAATATAAATGTAGTGTAACTATCCATTCTTTTCATTGGACAAATCCTCTGATAGGAAAGCCTTCTGTGTGCTATGTAAGTCTTGAGATGCACTCCTTTTTTGTCTGCTTCACCCACTGCCGTCCCATGACTGCTCTCTCAGCGTGTGAGTAGTCATGTTAAAACACCTCACAGTAGCTTTCTTCATCAAGCATCCTTGCTTGTTCTAATCCCCCACCTGTTTTCCAGTTTTCTTTGAAGAAATCTTGTTCATTTATGCCCGTTGCTGTTTCTCTTTCTTTGATGCTGCCTGTCTTGTGCATGTTATATTGTCTCAGATAGTCAGTTATGTGAAATTTAGTTGTATGTTATGTTGGCTGGGAAGATTTTGTTGGCCTGATTATTTATTGGAAAACTAGTTTATTCTTAAATAAGTTTATTCCACTTTTTACTTAATCCATTAAATTAATGAGTAAAATCGTATGTTTTAGATTTCATAAAGCAGCATTCCAAAATGTGGAACTTTGGGCATAATTGCTTGAAAATACCTAGAGAACCCATAATGAAACCAAATTGTTATCTTTGTATATCAAGATAGCGCTCTGGTAGGCAAGGGAGGGTTGAGGGTGGAGAAAGCAGAAGTAGAGTCTCTGCACATGATGTCCAATATTTTCATGATGATCTCAACTACAATCCATAACTATATTTAAATTGTCAATTATATATCATAGGCGTTTCACTGGAAATAACATGTCCATAAGAGAACAATTACATATGCCATTGTATTGGAGACAATCGAAAAATAATACTCAAAACGCAGGGAGGTATGAACTTTTAGACATTTCCTCTTATGCTAAATCGGCTGTAGGATCTTGATCCACTTCTTACTCTTAAGAGGATAGCTTTGCTTATCATTCTGCATTTTTCTTCTACCAAAAGAACTAACATTCAAAAGAAATATTTCTCAGATGCAAGCTAAGCCATATAACTTTGCAGTGCTGAAAGGAATATGAAGGATGTGTAGTCTTAACACCATATCCTCAAGTGTGATCTTCATTCTAGGTGCCTTAGTCAAGTTAATTAAGTTATATTATCTAGATTAATATTTGCTCCATGTAAAAGTAAGGAGTAGGTGGGTAGTATGTCTCTAGGCATGCAAAAGTTGGGTATAGGAAAAAAAGCCTGTCTTTGTCAGATCCAGATGTTATGTTTTAAGCTGCTCTCTGCAGATTTTGTGGGTTGGAATCAACATGAGTAGACAGGGAGAGGGCATGAACATACTGTCCCTGACCTGTGTATGATTGTGAGTATGGACTCTGTGCATGGGTTGTATTCCCAAAATCGTATTCTCAGTCACTGGGATGAAGCCTGTGCATAGACTCTGAGCTCACAGTCTGACGATAGTGCATGGGTTGGGGGTGGTACTAGCATGCTCTTTTCTGTTCCCCCTCTGCACATGTTTATTTCAATGCATGTATCTAGAGAGCACTACTGACAGATGAAATTGTGTTCAAGAGGGAATTTTCAGAATAGTTAGGTATATTTCTGCTACTAATGAAGAGTAATTAAGCTGCTAGTTAAGTGTACAGCCAGCACATCACACCCATTTTTGTTATTAAGGATCTAGAGCGTTTGTAATGCTTGACAACATTTACTTATGTACTCTGATTCCTAGCTGTTGTAAATGTGCTGAGGGTCTTCAGTGATATTCATTGGGCAGGCCAGTTTCTTCTGCCTCAATTATATATATGCTTGACACAATACCTAGCTAAATGTAGAAGCTTTGTAAACATATTTGAAAGCTCTGATGATGGAAAGCACTGCTTAAGTAGACCATCTGACTGAAGGTTTCAACACTACTTACAGAAGTACTGCTTCTGTGATAGTGTACCTTTTTCCCCTCTAGCCTACAAGTGTTGCATTTTAAAGATCTTGATTTAGGGGGGGAAACCCTTTCTGTTATGTGTTACTTTGCTTAAGATTGCAAACTATTGTTACTGTGTAGCCATCATTAGCTGGAAGTAAAAGTTTTGAACTCGTGTGTGTTTGCAGAGAAATGGATGCTGCAAGGACACCTTTAAGTGAAGCAGAATTTGAAGAAATCATGAATAGAAATAGGGCTATCTCTAGCAGCGCCATTTCAAGAGCTGTTTCAGATGCCAGTGCCGGTCAGTATGTTTTCTTTAACTATCCCATCCATAATCAAAATGGGTTGGGTTCCATAAATTCCTTCTTCTAGTGGCAGAGTGAATGCATCTTTCTTCTGGACCAAGGCTTCTAGTCATGGTGGAAGACTCTGCTGCTAGCAGAATGGATTCTTAGGACCCAGTCCATAGTCATGAGATGCTTTCTGTTGGGAATCTAAAACTGCTAATGCTGGGAGGGATATTATCTTTTGAGAAATACAACTTTCTGAAGGCCCTATCAGAGTAAACTAGGCTGAGTTCCCAGAAATGGATGGTAAGTCTGTGACTGGACTACATCAGTTCAGATTGAAGGTTAAGGCTCTCACTCTGGAACGCTCTCCTACAACATATGGATTGGATTGGATTAGCACTCGTCTTCCTGACATCTAGTTTTCTATGTGGAAGAGCATTCAGTCATATAGACCATCTCCTAAAACCTGCAATAGTATGGTCAAGGCACAGGTTTATCACTGCATCAGTGTAGAAGACAACAATATGGTGGTTGGATGTTTAGAAACCATATATATACACAAATAAAAAACATGTTCCTTAACATGTGTTTTTCCATCTTTCAGGAGACTATGGAAGTGCTATAGAAACTTTGGTGACTGCAATTTCTTTAATTAAACAATCCAAAGTGTCTGCTGATGATCGCTGCAAAGTACTTATTAGCTCTCTGCAAGATTGCCTTCATGGAATTGAGTCAAAGTCTTATGGTTCCGGGTCAAGGTAAACCCTTTGTATATAAATGGGTAAAAGTTTTTTTGCGAAAACCTTACTAGGGAGTACTATAATGAATCTGACATGACTCCTAGAATAATTCACTGGTTCTGTGAAGCTTCAGTTTCTTGATTAGGAGAACACTGCCATTGTGTGTTGATTAATGTCAAATAATTAGGTCTGATACAAATACTGTTCTGTGACATTACGGTATCTCAGAACCTTATTAAACCATTGAAATAGCAAATCTGTTAAACTGTTAAAATTTATTTCTGCTGTTGTAGTTTGAGTTCCCCTCGCTAAATTAGAGTGAATGTGCTTTGGGGGGGGCATCATCTGTGCTCATAAATAAATTTTAAAGTTTATCTACTACACTCTGAACACCAGTGCTGAGTTACTTGCTGAACCTTTAAAGAAGTTGTCATACCAGGGGCTCACTCTGATAGTGCCCTTTGTCCTAGCCGTGGGCTATTTGCTGCACAAAGGAGGGAATGCCACATTCAACACAAACAGTTCTCTTTCTTTACTAGGTCCAAGTGGAGTGTGTGAGGAGGCAAGGAAACAAAATAACACTCCTGTACTCAGAGTAGATAAAAGTCAAAATTACACATTTTATTAGAATTAATG